GGTCCATCGAACCACAATTCGCACGCGACCTCCTCTTATCCATGTCGTCACGAGGTCTATAGCAACTGGAATTCGCGCCAGTGATTTTTCGCTGTAGTTGCCGTAATTGCTGTATTGATTTTCCGCCCTTGGTTTTATGAGCAAGGACTTACGCGACTTCGTGCGTAAGTCATCGGGCGTGGGTACCTGGTCCAGCGATAGGGTGAAGTGTCTGGCCAACATGGTTTTTAGCTCATCACTTTTTACTCCATCCATGAACATCGAGACGTCGGCCAATTTTCGCTCTGATATCATCTCCTCGGGGTTGCTCCTTCTTGGGGCGGGACGCTCTTCCCAATTGTCACCGTTCAAGACAACGTCTAGCTTCCGCATCATCAAGTCAGAAGTGGCATCTAGCCTTTTCTCCAGGCTAGTCATCGTATGAGCATAGATATTGCCATGATCGATCATCAGTCGCTCGATATCTCTTGTAATCCTATTTTCTCTTTCTTCTGACTCCTTGGTTGCTAGAGCCAAGCTGTCTGCTAGGCATTGATTGGTGTTCCGAATCAATTGGGCCTGATCGGTTCTCGCCTGTGAAATCACATCCATTAGCTCATCTCGCAACTTCTCTTGACCCTGCTGAGCTCTCTCTTCGACTCGATCTATTATCTTAGTCTTGTCCCGTCGCAGCTCCTCGAGGCCTGTCATTACGCCGGCAAATATGTCACTTATATCGCCAGCCGCCCCAGTACCGGAGTGAGACCCAGAGAAAGTGAGGTCAATCAAGGTTGTAGCCTGGTACTTGATGACCCGTCACCTCTCTGTGTGCCCATTGACATCGTCAGCCTGTCGAACGTCGAGGATGCTCCTATTGTCATCCCATCAGACATCGGCCTATTGGGCAAAGCTTTCTTGCTTTTTTCATTCCTCGGACTCGGTGTGAAGTCAACATCCGAATCCACTAGCCCCGGATGTTCATAGCTGGAAGATAATCCCTTAGTTCGAAGCGACGTTATGCGTTCATCGTACAAAGTCTTTCAATTCTTCTTGGTTTTCGAATTCGGCTGCTCCTCCCCTGGGCATATGCTCGACACCATCGCATTCTTGCCCTGTTTGACTAGAGAAGATTGTTCCTTCCTCCACCTATTGCTCTTTGTCTCTGATTTAGACATTCCCTTAAACAACAGTTCTTCTCGCGCGTCAACTTCGGAACGCTGCGAGGCCTCTTCGGTTCTTCCAACTTCCTCCCGTTCACGGTCCTCGCCTGGCTCTTCCAGGTCTGCATGATGGTGGTAGTCGGGTCGGGTCAGTGTTTGCTCCCCTTCCTCAAAAGGGTCCAATGGTGTCTCGCTCCCCGGCCCGGCCCGGCCTCGGCACTTCGCCCTTGATTGCCATCGAGGTTCTTCTCGCTTCTCATTTTCATTCCGCTCGGTGAAAGACCACCTTGACCTTAAGTCGTTGCGTCGTCAGCAAATTGTCAGACACGTTGCTAATCGAGGATTGGCTGCACCGTAATTTAAACTTGCGCGTGCTTCCCTTGCTCTGTCTGGGAATCCTAGTTGTCACTCCTAACGAGTCTCTACGCTGCATATTTAGCGACAATGCACAAGTACCACAAATAAATTTGAAGTAATTTGCTTAACGCTGCTTATTCGACTTCCTCAATATCAAAAATACTCTTTCGATTTTTTAGTGATGCTATTAGGGACTCAGCTAAAGTTACACACAGGGCCTGCTTAGTGTTAGGATAATGCTAAATCCACTCAGCTACCTAGTACAAAAGTATCACAAAACTTCACAAGATACAACCAGTATACAAAACATAATTGATAATCAGATAAGAATATCTTATAGGTGACAGCGATCTCTCGTTCAGAATCACTTTACTGCCACAGACGTATCAAATCACTGCTTTGTTTAAAATCATACAATTTTTTATGAAAGAGCAGTGATGATTCAGGAATCGATGAAAATAACTTAGTCCTAAAGAAAAAGACTACCCGCGATTGGAACACTCAAAACGAACGAAGTCCAGGACACTATCTTCTCAAGTGAGTGTGTCTTGCCTAATACACTCACCGGGGTCTTCTTTTAGGTGTCCTGCGGTTGCCTGAGCTGTCCTACTAAGTAGCTCAAGGCAACCTCTGATCGAAATTTTCTAAAGTCTAAGAAAAAGCTCTCCCACACCCGGACCACTCCAAGTGCACGAGAGCGGGGAAAAACCTTTCTTCTCAAGTGAGTTTGTGCTGCCTTATACACTCACGGAAGTCTTCTTCTATATAATCCTGGGTTGCCCGCGTTTTCCTATTAAGTATCTCAAGGCAACCACACAATCAAAATAACAATAAACAAAATTAGGTTCGGGTACTTCTGATGAACCCGATCTAGATTCCAAAGTTGGTCGCGAATTTCCGGGTAAACCGGGCTTCTATGTTCCTAATATGTACACCCCGTTGGTAGTTGATTTTTTATTCTGAACTTAATTGGATATTCACTCCAGATCTTCACTAAGAATCTTCAGATCTTCACTTAGGAGGGTTGTTAAGACTCTTAGCTTACACCGGAAGGTTACTTCGAAGGGTACCTTAGTCACCTAAGTAACTTCGGAGGGACCTTAGTCACCTAAGTAACTTCGGAGAGTCTCCTCAAATTCACTAAGGAGGGTCAATAAGAGGCTTAATACGCTCCGGAGGGTTGCTTCTGAGGGTTCCTTCAAAACACTAAATTTCTCAAGTCTCACTTAGAGGGTCTCCAATCAGTCTCCGAAAGTGCCAAAACAGGCTAAATTTGTTCTGGGGTCTTATTTCATCTTCCTCGGATGGTTGCGTGGAATATTTTTGCTAAGGAGGGTTGCTAAGAGGCTTAGTTGACTCCAGAGGGTTGCTTCGGGGGTTCCCCAAAAATCAAGAAAACGGAGGATTTTACCGCCGTAAGGCCTCCGATTGGAGTCTAACTTACTTAAAACTAGGTTGGCTGACTCGGTCAGCCTTCCCAGTAGGATAAAAAGGTGATTTATAAAAATTTTTGCCGTTCGGTTAGGGAACACGATTTTTGGAACACGTCGGTCACAATTTGGAAAATGTCGGTCAGCTTGCCACTCTACTCTCCGGTCACTGGCAAAATCACCATTAACGTGCTTAAATACTCAAACAACCCTCCAGGGAGGGTACCTGACCCACCAGCAAAACATTCAATATTTCGATCAGAAATGATATAAATCAATCTGAAACAGCACTAAATGTGAAGGTCAGATCACATCTCGTCGAGAAATAACATATAAACTGTCACTTTATGTTTTTTTTTTTTACTGTTTTTGGTATTTTTTGGATTTTTTTATTGTTTTTTGCACTTTTTGTTTTCAAGTAAATTTGTTTTTTGGGTTTTTCTTGGTAATATACTTTTTTTGTTCGGTTTTACGCTTTCTCTTTAATTGCTTTTTGGTCCTGGGACCTTGGGATAAGCCGGCTCATGACTTCCCACCTAGCCCTCCGGCGCGTAGAAAAAGTACATTTAGACGAATGGCTGGTGTCAGCTACCCGATTTCTACTCGTTTTTCACCGTCTAGGCCTAGCCAGTTGATTTTCTGGTATGTTTAGGGCTAAGTAAAACGTTTTAGTCTTTAGGCCATCAGTCAAACGACTTTTAATCAGCTTACGTTTACATGCGAAGATAACCACATAGCTGGGTCTCGGAACCCCAGACTACATGATTATCATTAAAAACACGGCTTGAATATCCTATTTTACTATGTTTTTGGTGACAGTTCTATATTAAATTCATTGGAGGTGGATTGACTCTTTCTTCTTCCCAGCTACTCATATTCTAAAATAACAATCAATACAGGTGTTAACTCAAATGTTTATGACATCAGAGTAGCTAAAAAGTTAGGCTACTACAGTCCTTCACGATATGATGGTCTCTGGGGGCCGAGCCTCTGATTCCGCGCTTTCTCTGTAACAACGTCGTTATTTCTCCAAATTCTTGGCACGGGAGGGTACTGCTCTTTCCGTCCGCCCCACCGAAGCCTCATTTCCTTCTATTGGTTTCAATTACTCGTCTTTTCTTGCGTGATCGTCACGATAAGAGGCTTCGTCTTTCTTTCTTTTTCTTCTGACTGTCTTGCACTTGTTATTTCGGTTGTTGTTTTTTGTCACTTTTCGGTTGTTTGAATTTTTCGTCGTCATTCGAAATTTTCTAATTTTCTCATATTAATTTTTTTTCAGCAATATACGATCACTAAGGCCTCTCTAGTCGTTTTCGTGCTGTAACGGAAGGTTCCGCTGTGCCAATCCGGGGAAATGGCACAATGTACTAATTTTGAGGGGGAGAGCGCGCCAAAAAACCTGATGAAAAAAGGCGCCAAAATTTTCCAAAAAGTGCCCAAAAACTGCTTTTTGACCTGTTTTTTTCAAAAATTTGCCTGCGGCTCAGAAAATCGGACAAAACAGCGTCTTTTAAGTGGTTTAGAAGAGCTCGGAAAATCAATTTGGTCGATCTAAAAAAACGTCCTCAATTTTTTTGAATTTTTTTGAAAATCCGCCCCCTCCTCTCGTGAAAATCCTAGATCCTCCCCTGAACTAGTTGTTTCTTCCATAATAGTCGTTTGTTCGATAATTTCAACTGAAATTTTAGGGGCATTTATTGTTTTTTTCATTATGGAAATATCAAAAAAAGAGACAAAATTTACCAGGGAAGGTTACTAAGGTTACAATTATAAAACCTGAAAAAATAAAAACCTAAAATTTTTCTAAAAAACGAAATCATAGTTTATATTTTGTTCCAGTTTGGTAGTGGAAATAAAACAAAGATATATTGTATAAACTCCAATGAACCAAAAAACTATTAATAGTGTTAAAAAATATTTATGAAGACGGTTTGTGTTCTTAGTTGTATCCTTCCTTCAATCAATTTTTTTTTCAAAAACTCCAAATAAACATGGAAAATTGAAAGAAAAAACAGTATCTGCTCAGAAAATTCTAGCGCACAAGCTGAAAAGATTTTTAAAATTCATTTTCTGATAATTCTATGTACAGTCATCTATTACACACCAGATTAATTTTTGCAGTTTTTACTACATAAAAACAATTTCTAAATTAATTATCAACCCGAGTAGTCAAAATAAGCACAAGAACATAACTTTTAGTTATCTAATTTACAAGACTACCTCAAAATCTGCAGTGATCAAGCATTAAAATTACATCATAAAAACGAAAAATTATCAATCAACTTGTTTTGAGGCACTTCACTAAAATATAGCACTCCATTAGTATAATTTTAAATTTCCAAACTGTTTGTTCTATCTGTTATGAAACAGAAGTGTTTCAGTGTATTAAAAACATGTGAGCGCCGATGAACGTTTACGTATTGCTTTATCCACAATTATAGCTCAATTTATAGCTCGATTTGCAGCAGGCTACCACAGGCATTTTTGAACTTATATATTATTATTGCAAAGAAATTTGTTGGTCGTGAATCAATCAGTCAGTTTGTTTGAGTTGTTCAATTACAGTTAGCAAAAGCTCGAATTAGAACGTGGCAGAAGTTCAATTGTGACAAGAGATAATTGATCATTTTTGAAGTTGTAAAACAGCCACGTCATTGCGATGAGCGATATTGAGTACGAATTCAATAAAAAACTGTTCACAATGAAATTAAATCAGTTGATCGAATGATTGGTTTCATGGTAAATACACATAGCCTCTCATAGTCTTAGTAGTTTGAAATCGACTATTTGATTTTAGGTAGAAACAATGAGATATCTTTTTCTGTTTTTCAACTAGTTAAATAGTGGTAAAAATGATTACGTGTTAATGATGGAAATACACCATGACCATCTGGCTCAGATGAGCGTTTACTGTCCCTAGTGAGTTACTACACAGTTCGAGAGAGATTACTTGAATAAACGAGTTTAAAAGGGGTTACACACAATGGGTTTACACAATAACTAACTCTAAGTAACATTTGCACTGCGCAAAGTGAGTAAAAGGATGGGAGATGTGTATGTGTATTTAATACTCACAGTGAGTATGGGTACGAAGTGGTGTGTAAATGCATGTAATCATGACAGATTGAGTAAATTGGGTGCATCGGGAAGGATATGTTTATGCATGATGATGGCAGGTGGAGATGAAGAAGGAGAGTTGGGACATGTATGGCGGACAGTCAGTTGGAGAGGTAGACATCAATGAAATATTTATCACTAGATTTATAGATATTGCTAAAATTACTATGATCGAACCATTCAGACCAACCATAACCAGTTTCCCTTTCCCACACTTCGATGGTTAACCAGTGGAGTGAATCTCTGTTCAAACGAGACTCCACCTCCTCAGCCACTCTATCTACACTGCAGTTACTATTAGCTCCACACATGTCACTCTTACCCACATCGTCAACTATCTTCACAGCCTTCTTTTTATCTTCATCTGTACATTTCCCTCCTCTGTCTCTCAGTTTGGATGTGGCCACTTTATACAGATACATGTTATGTGTGCACTCTGGGTCATTCCTCCACTCGGCCATTTCTCCAAATCCATCCAGTCTGTACTTTAAGCTGTACTTGAGGTCTTTGGGTGCAGTATGGACAAACCAAGTGTACAATGGGTAGGAACTGCTCAGCATATCTATCACCTCATGGCGCGTATCATGAACATCCAATCCACTCTTGCCACAATCAACCATTTTTGAGTACGCTTTCTGCTTCCACTCGGCTGAAAAAAAAACACTTTTTATTACATGTGTCCCACTAGTCTCACATTGTGAATCAGCCAATGTTAGAGTGGCTTAACTTACGTTTTTTTTACAAGATCCGGGGTAAACAAAAACAACCCTTCGCAGCATTTTAACTGTGCTTCAAAACCATCGACAAGTCTCAACCCCTAACAGAAACTCATCGATTAATTGCCAAAGAATTAGTTTTTTTTTGTGCTGGGTATAAATCGGCCATCTCTGGATGAAGTTCTTTTTTTAGAGGTGTTTTCTGTATAATAATAATTTACTCTTAATATTTATATAGATAAATCGGCTGGCAGTATCTGTAATAAGAATTCAGCCTTTCATACGGTGAAACCGTATGAAGCAAACCTTCAGTTTTCTGGGTTGGCGCCGTCGCATGTTGACACGGTACCGTTGGGTGCTGCGGCGTTTTGAGGAAAGGATGATTAGTCACTGACTTGTAGCTCCCTCTTTTCTCAGGTACCACTTGCAACATTTGCCTCAATAAGTCTTTCAAGAATCCCGAAGTTTCTCCCGAAATATCCAATTTCAGATCTCCTTTACCATTGCTTTTGTAATTAGTCATAAGATTTGGCAAGTCCAAAAAGTCGAAAGGAAGTTTTCCCATCATACACTCGTACAGGATTACGCCCAGTGACCAAATATCAGCTTTGGAGTCGTACTTTGATTGACACATGATCTCCGGTGCCATGTAGGCGAGCGTTCCGCAACCTGTTCCGAGCAACTGATTCTTTTCCATCTGCTTTGCTAGCCCAAAATCGGCTATTTTTAGAACACACTGATCTGGATCAATGTCTGCGCTTTGAAGAGCTTCATCTGATTCGATTAAAATGTTCTGAGGCTTCAAATCGCGGTGAATGATGTTCTGGGAGTGTAGGTATCCAAGACCGGCGACTACTTGTTTCAAGAATGCTTGAATGACCGGTTCCGTGAGTTTGTGGACTTTACTCAGTATTTTGCTAAGATCTCCACCTTTGCAGAACTCCATGACAAGATATATGCATGCATCCGTCTGCGAACAAAAATATAAAACACTATTTTAAGCATTGAAGTTATTTACGAGGCTATAACTTGCAACTTTTAGCTAGTTTAGAAACAAAATTTCATAAAGAAGAACCAATAATTGTTTCGGCATTATTACAATTTTGAATTCGTTTCGCTTAATTTCTCCTAGAAATCAGTCGATCGCCCTTTACGAATATCAACTAAGGTTTCTTTCTTTGAATTATTTCACAATCCTTGGAATCTAAAAGTTCACTTGAAAAACAATGTGAAAAAATTAGTTTCTTAATTTTGGCTGATACGATAAAAGTTTACATTTAAAAAACTTTTGACTGTATTTCTTGAGGTTTTTTTTACCTTTTCAAAACTATTCATCATGAAGGAAACTGATTTGGTCAGTGGAGTTGAAACGATAAACAAATACGGCAGAGTTGCGAGTAGAGCTATAAATATGAATGATACATGAATGTTTTTTTGATGGAAATTTGAGCAACAAGGGGCGAAGGCGAACTATTTTATGACTTCGGAAAAAAAAATCCATAATAAGCGGAAGGTGGATAGCTCAAACGTATACGATCAAAAAAGCGTTCTGTTGCCTACTTCATCTTACGAGCATGATACTCTCAACATGCAATAGCAAGAACTGTTTTGTTCAAAAGAGAATTGCAGATGAAATTTTTCTAAAGTTTGAAGAAAATTGTGCCTTGCAGTATTATAGAAATACGAAAGTGGGATGGGGGTAACCTCTACGGCGATGATTGGGTATAGAATATACCTAATGATCTCTATGCAAATATTTTGTCCTAATGATCTATTTAAAGTAAAATATTTGAAGCTAATGATCCCTAAATAAAGTTAATGATCTCTAATGATCCCTATCTATAATTTATATACTTAATGATCCTTTTGTGAAACTTGTGTGGGTTAACAACAAAATCGTTCTATGCACTGAGGCGATATATTCTTTCTTTTTGCCGCAAATAGCTCGGCAAGCTATGCTGTGTTCCAAATGAACTAAAAGTGTGCCATGCGTTTGGCTGTTGAAGTTCTTTGTGATTTAGTTCTTTCAATGTTTCTTCAAAGTGTAGGGTCTTAATGAAAATAGAAAATAAGTGAAATGATTGAATTATCTACACAAAATTATGAGAAAAAGCCACTTAAGGCACCAAAAGCAGTTTGGGTTCATTTCCAATACAAAAACTCTCGAAACCACTCCAGATAACAATTGGTGAAATAGTCAATTAATAGGTTTATGAAAAGAAGAAATGAAAAGAATCAATTAGTTTTTTAAAATGAGCAGTTAAAGAGAAAGCTTGTGAGTTAGAAAACCTTTCATCATAGAATCCATGTATATGAAATCAGAAGCCTAATTTCGTTGATCAGTTGATTGAAATGTATAAGAAAAAAGTCATGTAAAGTAAATAATAGTTTATTGAAAAGCATATGGCTTAGGAAACATTCGATTATTGTGTCTGTTTGATCTGTTTTTGTATGAAAATAATGTCAGAACTTGCACCTAACTTGTTACCATATAATTGAAGATAGAATAAAGTTTTTTGGGGTCCGAGTAGAGGAAAATGCACGGCGCTCGACTCGCAGACAAAAGGCGGCGTTTCGAAATCCGTCCGGAAATTGTACTGAAAGGAGGCCCCATTTGCTGATGATATCCCTTCATAGATCGATTTTGTATTTTTTTTACTTTGATAGTAGCCTAACTTACTGCTATCTAGTTAACAAGTGGGTAAAATTGTCAATTACTAAAACATTGTTGTGTTCAAACTGAAACTGAAATTTGTACATATAAGCCATATTAAAAAGTTGATTAAAGGGAAAGCAGGTGAATTAGAAACATTTCAAAACATGTAAATTATGTAAACAGAATCGGAAGAATAACGAAGTTTGTATCATCAATTAAATGTGTAATACAAAAACAAAAAGACCGCATATGGTAGAGTTTGAGTCTTGCATGGGGAAGTTTGCCATCAATTCAGTGACTTGATAGAAATTTTCGTTCAATCGTTTATATAGACTAGTGTACTGCCAAAAAGGAAGATCTAGAGGATCAGCAAATTATAAAACATTTCTTCTGTTACAAATCTTAATCCATTGTGTCCCAGGAGAATCTGATTTTGAAGTGTTCACAATCAAAAAGGTATTTTTTGGGATGGGAGGTGGGAAAATTTCGGCTGCAAGTACTCCAAGAAACTTTTTTTTCAGATGTTTACAACTCTGAATGAGATCTTGCAACTGAATTTCATCCATTTTCAGACCGTCGAAGTTGGAAGGACGTTCTATGTATCTTTGTGGCCGGACGTAAAAAATACATTGGATAAGCATTATGACCAGCTGTTGCAAGAAATGTTTTGGTAACTTCTTCTTGATTTGGGTATTTCGAAGGAGTTTTGATCAAATTTCAGTCAAATTTCAGTAATGCTTCGCAGCAACTTCAGATATAATGAGAAAGTCATCTTGAGAGCGCCTGTAGGAAAATCGGAGGGTAAAACAGCTCAACAAATGCTTGTCACAGGTGACGAAATCAACTCCAGCTGGTCCGTAAAACCAATTTCTCACAAGTCGCGGACCAGTTCTCGTTGAGATGTGAAACCAGCTGCGTGTACTATCGCAGCAAGATTGTTTTCAAAATGATATCCCTGACACTTGAGCCATGTGTCCTTGGCTCTTTTGCTGTTTGAATATTTTGTTCCAATAAAGTTTTATGCGCAAATTTATTTTTGGGATTTGAGGTTTTGAGTCGATTAGCACAGATGGTACAGTCAGAGAAAAGGAAATACAGGGAGTTAAATACGATGATTGGTGAGTCAGACACAGAAGAATCGGTGTTCTCGTATCTCAGATGAGCTTCATTTGCTTGTGTTACTGTGCATTGTATTTCCAAACAGATTTTTTGCTGGTGAACAATGTTGTTACGGTCATCGGTGATTTCAAATTCAAGCATTGGTCCATTTGGTGAGTAGACTTGTCCAATTTTTTTAATCAAAAACGTTTTCAAATGTAATCCAAAAAGATGGTTTTTTAAACAAAATCAGGGTGGCTTCATTGGGTAAAAATTTAGCGATCATTTTTCATGTTTGAGCACAAAACCTGCTCGACTTAGCGCTGCTCTGTTTTTTTTTGAATGGTTGTTTTTTTTTGAGCTCCTACTGACCTTTTTCTACGTAATCCATTCATTTGTATCTTTTGACGACATCTACCACCACCGAGTTGTTTTCTTGTAGTTCTTGTGACAGTGTTTTTCAATGTTTGCTTACGAGATTTTTCTTCTATATCGACATCAATCAGTTCTGGCGCTGCACTCATCAAAAGTTCTCTGCCCAATTTTTTGGTAGCCAGTAGAGTAATCCGTCGTGCAAACGGTATAACAATACTACCAATACCAGCAGCCAAAGCGCCAAATCCACAGTCCGTAGTGTTAGGAGAAATTAGGAAGTGAAGCTAGCTTCGCATAACTTTGCTCCATTGGTTTTCAATCAAAGCGCTTGAATTTTGAAGTCAACAAAACTTTACCAGTTCCTGCAAAGGGCACACGTCTTCCAGTTTCTGTGAGCAATTGTACCGTTTGGATTGTACGGATGAAGTGAATGATTTTTTGAAGCCTAAGTTAGTGGAGTTTTTTTGATGATAAGGTTCAATGCTGCAGGTACTTCCGTTTTTGATGTGTCTACTTGAATCAAGGAAGCCCAACAATGGGCCTTTGCATCTCCAACAGTTTGGTATTGAATAATGACAAAAAAGACAAAAATTAGACTAGTCACACTAAACAAGTCACGTGGGAAATGAGATTCGTACAATTCGCTTCTTCCCTTCTCGCCAAGCTTTGCATTGTAGCCTATCAAACTCGGTATTCAAGGACTTGGGAATGAAATTCGTTCATTTGGATTCTTCCAAATACTTATGCTTTTCGTAATTTTCAACATTTTGAAACAATGTTTTAATAAAATGTACTCTCCTGATTTGATAAAAAATTTTCATCATAATAAGGTCTAGAAATTGTATTCCGGTCGCCAGCGTTCGATTTACTGGCTACTACTTCGGATGCTCTGACGTACGTAACTTCTTTATCAGTAACATTGTTTAATTTCGTTGGGAAAATTATTTCTGAGAGAACATTTTCCAATCTCCGTCCATACATGCGAGTATATGTTTTACGAAACAATCCATACTTGTATTAGATTTTTGAGATCTCAGAAATTTTTTTCGGCGAGAATCCACGTCAAGCATTTGTTAAGTTTTTTACGCTTCCAAACGCAGCTGGAACTTTCGTGCACAGTAATTTGAGTTTCTTTTCTTCGCTGATAGTAGGATTTCTATTCTTTTGTTGACGTCGCAAACAACTCTAAACTGCTATCATAGTTTTTATCATCGTCGTCGTTTGTGGAGAAAAATTGTTTTTTACGGGTTTTCTTTTGTCGGAGTGCTTGGTTTTGGGTTTGAGAGTTGCCGATCGAGTCTTCGAAGCGGAGGGTTTTGATCTCTTCGATTCATCATTTGTCGGATTGTCGGAGACAAAGGAAGACAATGAGGGCTTAGCTGCTTCAATTTTAAGCGAGCGGAGAATCTATTCGGCATAAGTGTTGGACTCTAAGGTTCTAAGGTGTTGGACTCTAAGGATCAACATTCAGTTCTTTCAATATTTGTAGAAAAAATACTCCCTCAAGTTTTTTTGTGTTTTGTTGTATAACGTACAAAAAAGATTCAGTTTTAACGCATGTCGGCTTCCCTTGAATTAAAACAGATCAGTCAACATCTAAATTCGGGGATTCAACTTCGAACAACTGCTTTAATACGAGCACTTTCCATTTTGTTAGCTTCCATTAGCGATTTTCCATTAATCTTTTCATCGTCTTTTTCTACTCTCTTTGAACTTGTTTGCTGCAGAGAAATGTCTGATTCAACATCTTTTTCTGCTTCATCATCATCATCTCTACTGAATTTTGTAGGAGCAGTTAGATTTTTCTTTTGAAGATTTGTTTCTTTTATATTAGGGGTTAA